AAATTTTCAAATGTATATTGTGATAAATATTTTTGGTCATATCGCCCTGCTCTATTCCAGAGTACTTAAACTAGGTGATCTGTACTATAGTAGTAGGATTACTGCCTAGTTCTATTTAAGCATACTGTGCCCTGGTCCTCTTCTTGAGGTGGGTCTGGGGGTGGTTCAGCTGAACTCAAGCACATTACACTTATATTATCTATCCATGAAGCCAGATAACACTCACCAATTAGACTGTAGGATTGTCTTAAAGACATAAAGACCTGTATGATCTCTAATTTTCTTCTTCTAAAGTCACATAAAACTGAGGTTATTGTACTTGGCCCTAAAATCTCAGACATATGATATTTCTAAGATTGTACCAACACTGTCTTAACAACAGCTGCCTCTGTAAGATTGCTGTGTTAAATAGTTAATCAATGTTTTAGGCATGTTTGAGGACAGTGTGTCAACTCTTCTAGCATGCTCCAATGAAACCACAGAATCAAAGGGAGACTGAGAGAAAGTGAGGAAACTACAAGATATTTACATGCTGGTTATCCCTTCATTGGAACTGAAGTTGACTGTGTAATGAATGAATAATTGAAGGAGCTCAATACACACAACACAATACATACAATACACACTACTGTCTTAGGAAAAGCGACCCTGTTTCTTTGTGCTTTCTGGTCTCATGGGCCCCTCTGACACTGTGGCGCTGTCTGCTTTTCTCAGGTATGGGATGCAATGAATGTACCCATCCATCATGTCAGCACTCTCTCAACTCGTTGGGCATTGGACAATGTGTGGAGTGTGATAGTGGAGTTTTAGTGTTGGACCCCACATCTGGTCCAAAGTGGAGGATGGCCTGTACTAAATGCAATGTGGTGGTGCACTTCTTTGAACATGCACACAAAGTGCAGGTAAGAAAATTATTGTCTTACTTTATTATTGTCTATTATGGACTGGCATGTATAGATGTTTTCAAACTGACCACACTCTATACTACAGTAACGTTCAACCTTTCTCACATATTCATACAGCACTTCATTCTATGCACTTACACTCTTTATTGCCGTTGCATCCTCACCTAATGCCAAGGTAGAATCGTCATTTCGTAATACCCATGTTGTTTGTCTGTGGGAGAAAGCCCATTGTAAGTACAGAGAGCATGTAACCTCCTCACAGAGAGGTCAAACTGTTTCAGTTTTTTCCATACAAGCATCTTTGATCTATAGCATTACTGAAACCGAAGAAAGTATGAAACAGTACCCCAGTTCCTTGATTTATTTATTTTTGTTAATGCTTTTTTCTCAGGTTGCTCAGGAGAGCTGTGATGTCTGTGATGCCTCTCTAGTTGCAGTGGACTTTAACAAGACTCGCACTCCTCTTCCTGCCAGTGAGACCCAACACACTGGCTGTGTTTTTTGTGATCCAGTGTTTCAGGATTTGGTGGAGCTCAAGCATGCCACCATGCGGCATTCCATGTACCGTGGTGGGGGTGGGAGAAGAGGAGGACGTGGACGTGGACGTGGACGTCGTGGCAATGCTAAAAAACCTAAAGATAAAATGGCTGCCCTAGCTGCTTATTTTGTATAGTTTCTGTGTGTATATTGTCCTTTTGCATGTCATTACATGAACTGGTTTTCTTCTGATAATGAATCTAAATATGGTAAATGGCCTGTATTTGTGTAGCGCTTTACTTAGTCTCTGTTGAACCCAAAGCACTTTACACTACTTTCAGTCATCCACCCATTCACACACACATTCACACACTGGTGATGGCAAGCTACATTGTAGCCACAGCTGCCCTGGGGCGCACTGACAGAGGCGAGGCTGCCGGATAATAGCGCCACCGGGCCCTCTGACCACCACCAGTAGGCAACGGGTGAAGTGTCTTGCCCAAGGACCCAACGACCGAGACTGTCGGAGCCAGGGGTCGAACCGGCAACCTTCCGATTACAACATGAACTACCAAGTCTTGAGCCCACGATCGCCCCATAAATACACAACAAATGTTTTGGGGGTTTTTTTTAATCATTTTTTCCCATTTTGTTAAGTGCTTTGAGTGGTCAGGTAAAGTTAAAAAAACACTATATAAGAACTAGAACCATTTGTCATTGTTACTAAGCACCTAAAAGACACATGACTTTATTCTATGCACTTTTTATCTATTATTCACACTTAAAGCCACCACAACAACAATCACCTAAAGGCACTTTATATTGTTGGGAAAAGGCCCTACAATACTACAGAGTATTGTACAGAGAAAACACCACCCCTATGAGGAAATGCTTTTGGCGAAAGAAGAACTCCCTTTTAAAAGGAAGAAACCTCCAGCAGAACCAGGCTGCACCAATGAGATTAACTAAATTCATCTCAATATTAATTTTAACTTTTTATAAACTGCTACTGGCATTGTAAACAGGCTAACATTTTGTCATTATTTAATCAGCATTCTCCAAAACAATTGTGAAAAAGTTTATTTTACATGTAGTTTAATTACTTGATCTTCATTTAAACTATTTCACTGCAGATTTTCCTCTTTGAAGAATTTTTCACATAAAAGGAAGGTATAATTACAGAATAAAATTATAGCAGTCTTACATTACTAATGTGTTTAAGTACTGCTTTTGGCAAAATGATGATACAACATGGGAACAAATTCATGACTAGGTGTAGCCAACCAACAGACTAAACACACATGAGACGCATTCTGCTAATTGGGGGTAATTGACTGATTCAGTGAAAGGGGTGTGTTCAAATTAATAGCAGTGTGGATTTCAGGTCATTCAATCTGTGAAGAAATGGGTGTCAATTAAGGCCCTTATTTAAGGAAGGAAGGCAGCAGCTGTTGTACCTGCTGGTTTAGCCCTTGCTCAGTGAGTAAAATGAGTTGTTCCAGACATTGCACTGGGGGAGAAAGAACTTTAATCAAAAGTTGATTGGAGAGGGGGAAATAATTGGCTGCTCAGCTAAAAAGATTTCAAATGTTTTGAAATGGGAAAGAAAAAGGAATACTACCATCTGCCTAGATGATAGAATAACAAGAATGGCAAAGAAGCATCCAGTGATCAGCTCCAGAGAGATCAAGGAAGATATATAGATCTCCATTTACCTGTGAGTACTTTAACAATCAGAGGAGAGGATGCCTATGTGAAGCCAAATTATTTCCAAGAAACCTCGTAAAAAGTATTGAAAAGGTTACAGTTTGCCAAAGAACACATTGACTGGCCCAAAGAGAAGTGGCACAATATTCTATGGACTGATGAAAGCAAGATTGTTCTTATTGGGTCTGAAGATTGCAGACAGTTTGTGAGACGACCCCCAAACACTGAATACAAGCCACAGTACACAGTGAAGACCGTAAAACAAGGAGGTGCAAGCATAATGGTTTGGGGATGTTTCGCATACTTTGGAGTTGGGTCCATTTATCACATAACAGGCACCATGGACCAGTTTCAGTACCTAAAAATACTGGAAGAGTATTTTTAGGTACTTGATCGAAACTTTTAACATATTTTTCAAACTAAATATAATTTGTTGGTTTGTTTTGTTTTTTGCCTTACGCAGAGAAAGAAATGCCCCTAAAATGGGTGTTTCAGCAGAACAATGACCCCAAACACACCAGCAAGCAGGTAACATCCTGGTTGCAGACCAAAAAGAGCCCAGCCCAATCCCTGGACCTCAATCTGATTGAAAATTTGTGGTGTGACCTCAAAAATTCTGTTTTTGACGCAAAACCCAAGAATACAGAAAATCTGTGGAATGTGGTCCAGTTAGCCTGGGCTGCAACTTCTGTTTGAAGGTGTCAAATGCTAGTTGACTGTAACTATTCCAGTTTGTAAATGAAAATACACACTTTTTTTTTTTTGAACAACCTAATATTCTTTTTCTTCATTTTTAGTAAAAATAAAGAAAAATAATTGTTCATGATTTCATTTGAGAGTGAATTTGCATAGCACAACATGGACCTTTTCCTCTGTTTTTAATACACTGTTATGTTGTACATAACTGTACGTAGGACACCTGGGTCAAGTGATGGATTTTTTGTTAATGCTACAAACTATTTTTTTTTTTTTTTTTAGGCTAAATGGAAATCTTCTAAATCAGCAAGATGTCGTTTCCTCTGCAGCTTACACATCATCTGCTTTAAGATGTGCATTAGAGAGTTATTTCCAGGATGTCAAGTACTTCAGATTTAAGGCTTTTTCAGGAGAGCGACCTTATCCACAGTAATATGCAGTGTAAATCCTATTTAAAAAGACAATCTATTTCTGTGGGAGTAGTTCAGGTAGCTTGCTCTCCACAAAGATAATAACACTGAATTAATTATATTCTTAATCTTAGTTACAGCACTCTCAATAGGACATCTACTGGGAACTTTCCTCCCTAGATAACACCTAGCACAAACAGCAGTAACTTAAATAGAGTTGAATGCTACATCTTATCAAACAAAGTGGACAAGAAAGCAGCTCGGGGGCGATCGTGGCTCAAGAGTTGGGAGTTCGCCTTGTAATCAGAAGGTTGCTGGTTTGAGCCCCGGCTTGGACAGTCTCGGTCGTTGTGTCCTTGGGCAAGACACTTCACCCGTTGCCTACTGGTGGTGGTCAGAGGGCCCGGTGACGGCAGTGTCCGGCAGCCTCTCTTCTCAGTGCGCCCCAGGGTGGCTGTGGCTACAATGTAGCTTGCCATCACCAGTGTGTAAATGGGTGGATATGTAAAGCGCTATACAAATACAGGCCATATTTTGGCTGGCAGTAGCTCAGGAAGTAGAGCAGATCACCTATTAAATTGAAGGCTGGTGGTTTGACCCCCTATCTCCATCCTTTGGGCATGATACTAACCCCAAGTTGCTCTCCAATGCATTTGAGTGTGAATGCTAGAAGCACTTGCACAGCAAAACAAGTGCTTGTGAGAATAAGGCAAGTTGTGTAAAGTGCTGTTCTCAGAGTAGAAAAGCACAATATAAGAACAAGTCCTGAAAAAGGGGGGAAATTAAAAGTGTGCAAATGTGTTTCTTATGTCATTTTATTACAAATTATCATTCAATCATTTATTGGAGACAACCATTATATAGCATTAAAAGTCATTGTTTAATAAAAAGCAGTTAAAGTTTAAGCTTTGATCCCATAAATATGCACTGAGGTTTTCATGTTCTGTTAGTGGATTAAAAGATCATTCATCTCTGGCTGCGCAGCAGGACTATGAGTACAAGGAGGAAGATCAGTCTTCATCTGCATCATCAAAGGCAACGCCAGTCGCTTGCTGCTTTCTGCAAACACACATGGACAGTAGCTTTATTTCACTCACATCAGTAGCATCACTGCTCTATTGAAGTCCTGTAAGAGACACCATACTTTTTAACCCCAGGGTTGATGAGCGAGGACCCCGGAAGTCTTCTCTTCATGGTCATTGCTGGAGCGCTGCTCTGCTGCTGCCAGGGCTCAAACTCTAAAGGAGAACAGTTTTGCATTAATGAAAACGTTTAATTGCCCAATTCCCTTTTTAAGCATGACATTTACATGTCTCCTTTTACTGAAAAAGATGGAATACTTCAATGTATATATAAGCACCGGATATAAGATCATTATTGTATTCAGTACTTACCTCAAAATTACCCAACACTAAGAAAATCCCATTTTAAAATCACTTAAAACAGTTTTAATATATTTAGAAGAGATTGCATTACAGCTGAAAATAAATGCAAATTTATTATGATGTTAAAAGAAAATTTGAGCCTCTTTCAAGATTAAAGTTTATTGTGACTGGTAGTCCACACTTGCAGAACCACATCTATGTGTTGGGGTTCTGTACCAGTGGGCCAGTTTCACAAAACATGCAGAACAACTACTCCAGTCAAGGCATAATGGCGAATAAATATTTGTAGTACAGTCAAACTGAGTGTTTGAAACTGTTTACAGATGTCCACAGCAACCATCGTTTATGTGGTTTTGTTTTATTTTTTTCCCCTTACTTCTTCCTCATCATATGAGTTTTCCTTTGGGATGAATAAAGCTTTTCTTATTCATGATGGAGAACAAGGGAAACTTCCAATATGATCCACTATTAACAGGTACACCTGTAGCCCCAAAATCTTACTTTCCTTCTGGTAATTTCCATTGTCTTTACAAAAGATATACCCATTTGACATTTCCCAGGTATTTTGGTTGCAGCAAAAAATTATTATGGATTTCACAACAGATCACAACATGATCTGTTGTACAGCCTCTTGTAATTTCATTTTACACATGAAAATGAAGAGCAGCATCTCCTGATCCAAGGCAACTTCAGCTACCATAACCATACTGGATTACACATACGGGAAGCTTCTGTTGTGGTTTAATCATGTTTCTAACCTGCAGAGTGTCCTGCTTTACATTCCTGACTGAAAGCATGCATCAATGGAATCATTTATGAGCAAACATCCATTAGGTTGTATAGAAAAGTTGGCCACAGCCAGTGTGACATCACATTTAGATTTTGAATCCTTGGTATTGGAGATGGCCAATGGTTATTTGAAGCCAAGAGCCATTTCACAAATGTATACCTGTGGGCCGTCTTTGGTTTTTCACTGGACTGGCTGAGGGGGGTCCACTTGAGGGGCCACCTGTGAAGGGACATGTTGCAGTCAGTACTGATCTAAAAGGAAGTTAGTTTTAATTCTGCATAAAATGAGTCACAACTACAAAGTGAATTCACTGTCAAGCTGTGTGAGGCTGTCAGCCATCGTGAACAGCAGCTCCCTCAACTTGTCTGTGGCCTGTGGACCTTCCAGTCTGGACAGAGTTACACTCAGGTCTCCTGGACTGGATCCCAAACGCAGCTCTGCACCAACCTCATGCACGGAAACAGACACATCTCCACTATTGCAGGATGCCCTGAGGAAAATAGAGATATATTCAGCCTCACTTACCTGACCACAGCTTTTTATAGTTCCATGCAAGAAGTGATGCATGCAGGAGTTGAGTGTGGTCTCACCTGAGTTTTAAGACATAATCCTCTGTAGATTTTAAGGCAAACCGCTGCCCCTGAACACACAGGGAAGACAGAAATTATGACAGTATACTGAGTGAATGAGAAGAAACCCAGAATACTTACAAGGTGCTTCAGACTGTCCTTAGTGTACTCCACACTCCAGACATTTGCAGCATCTGTCAGACTACAGCACACGATGTTTTAGTGTGCATGTGTGCCTAAACTAATGCGCTCACCGTCAGACTTTCACTGTCAGTTAAAACTAAATTTTATACCACCGGGGGAAAGGCCGTAACATCAACAAACTACTAATACTTCCATTTCCTAGCTTATGTCCAAGTACAAACGTATTTTTCCGAATAAAAAAGATTTAATTTCAAATGAACTCCGGCTAATAACAACATCTGACTCACCAGACACTAAGCATTCCGTCTTTCCTGCGAGTGTAACAAAGGAATTTAGATTGGCTTGTTTTATCCAACACGGTACAATAGGAATTTACACTAACATCCATGTCTCCACTATGGTTCACAGAAGAACAAAAGAAAAACAAGCGTATGCCTCTTGCACTCTTGCAAGAGTACACCGTTTCATAGCATGAGTGCCAGACACCTTTGACAAGCGCCATCTTCTGGCTTGGAATGGTTACTTCACTGGCTTGCAGACTACGGGGACCTCTCCCTCTCGATGTAATCGGCATACCAATTGTTGAATGGAGGAGTAAAGATCTATACTTCTGTTCCTGAATCCAGAGCACACACTCAATAGCGGTTTTAGATACGGGCGACACGGGCGGTTGCCCGGGGCGGCATCGTGGTGAGGGGTGGCATCACGGGCATCGGCAAAAAAGAAAAAAATGCTTGAACTCATGCTGCACCGACGTCAGCCAGGGAATGGCACAGGCACCGATCGGTTTTCTATCGCCCATTTGCTGGGGGTAAGGGCGCCCTCCTGCTGCTTCCGGCACGGGGAGGAGAGGCCGGGGATTCTCTGGCTGGTTGGAGCAGCATCTAATAATAATCAAAACAAACCAACAAACACGAAAACACCAGACGTCCAGGGCGCCAAACAGGCTAGGACCGCCACTGCACACACTTGTACACCTGTGTTAGCAAAATAGCACTGGACCATGCCCTGTGGACATTAACTTTATTGAAGAGAATACTGAGCATTTTTCCTTTCCAGTTCACAATCAATTCTACCCCCTGGTCAAAAATATGTATAAGAAAATTGACCTAATATAATATTATTTATAAACATACCTGTCCACTGATTGTCCAGTTAATTGCATAAGTACAAGGAGGCAGGACCTCACAGGAGAAGTATACTCCATAATGTGTTGTACATTATTATATGTATATTATATGTATTTTTTATCTATTGTATTTAACAACACCAAGAAGCTACAAGCAAAGAAAGACCACACCATGGCACATGTTTAAACAAGGAAAGTTTATTGATGAAAATTATTTCTTTAACAAAAAAACATAACAATTTTTTCATCCCAAATAAGTAAGTTCAAAGCAACACAATGGTGGCCCAATATCAGACAGAATTGTGAACTCTGGGTGGCACGGTGGTTAGCACTGTTGCCGCACAGCAAGAAGGTCCTGAGTTCAATTCCACCATCAGGCCGGGGTCTTTCTGTGTGGAGTTTGCATGTTCTCCCCGTGTTTGCGTGGGTTCTCTCCGGGTACTCTGGCTTCCTCCCACCGTCCAAAGACATGCAGCTTGTGGGGATAGGTTAATTGATTAATCCAAATTGTCACTAGGTGTGAATGTGAGTGCGAATGGTTGTCTGTCCCTATGTGTTAGCCCTGCGACAGACTGGCGACCTGTCCAGGGTGTACCCCGCCTTTCGCGCTATGACAGCTGGGATAGGCTCCAGCGCCCCCCGCGACCCTGAAAAGGATAAGCGGAAGCGAATGGATCGATGGATGAATTGTGAACTCTGTTCTGTGGAATGGGCAATCATAATGGAAAAAAATCAAAGGAGTGAAAGGGTTTGACCCTTACGAGCACACAGAGTGGACAAAATACGTTAGCGTGCTGCCCAACTTTCACCACGCTCATATTTATAATTATACGGTTCTTGGAGTGAGTGCATACACTCATGAAGTTTAGTAACTTCAGGTCACTGCAACAAGCCGACGGATGGGTACAGGACCTTGAAATGCACCATGTAGAACGAAATTCAATTCAATTCAATTTTATTTATATAGCGCCAAATCACAACATAAGTCGCCTCAAGGCGCTTCATAGATACAGAGAAAAAAAACAAAAAAA